TGCTGTATTCAAATTCAATGTTCTGGACTTGACAGTCACCTGTAGTGCACTGAAGCTAGACTAATTATAGCCCACTCAGTCACTTACATCAACACACACTCATGAGGTCAATGCAACCAACTCTTTTTGTTGTTACAATTAATTGGCTATATAACAACAAATTTTAACCAATAAGAGCCAGGGTCATTGTGAGCCTGGTTGAAGTTTGCAAAATTCAGAGTTTGAATAGTCAATACAAAAGAAATCACATTTTTCCAGATTAAAGACATTTAACTGTAATATAATAGACCCTTTGCCTGTTATAAGTCTGTGTGATTTAAGTAAGATAAAGCATTCAAACTCGATTTGATAAGAAATAATAACTCCAGGCCTTCAGTGTATTATTTCTTATAAAACCTCATTCTTATGCTTTATCTAGTACAGAATTGTATTGCTTCTAGTCCCAATGTATGAGGTATGTTTGAATAAAGGCTCACAACATCCAACGTTACAAGTTTAGTCTCTAAATTCACATCAGAGGGAATCTTCTTAAGAAAGTCCATGCCGTCCCTTATATAAGTGAACACATATTTCCCAACTAGGGACTTAAGAAAACTGAATTTTAAGACTTAAAGACATTTTAATTGTATATATTTGCCATTTGCGTTATTATAAGTTGTATGCATTATGTCACTTTTGTGTATTTTCAGCAGTACATAAAATGAATTATATATAGTTCGTCTTCTGCTAAATAAAACAACAATTACCTCTAATGGCATCCAGTAAGAACAGTCTCATACATCAATGTTACTTTTACACTTATAGATCTTATAGATACTATAGAGCTTGTGAGTGGTATGGATCTCTTTTCAAGTAGGTAAAACAAATAAATCAATATCTTGAGATCAATTTGAGTTTTATATTCATAGATTAAGTTACTATGTTTAAAAAGATCTAACCCAATCTTGCTTGAAGGTGGACAATGTCCATGGTGTTCCCCTTCTAAACTCTTGTGAAATACTTTTCCCATGTGCTGTTATTTGATAATTTTTTGTTGGACTTAATCCAGGTGTTCTTTTTATTTCTTTTGAAATCTTTGATCCTTTTTATGTTTGGTATGTACTTCATCTAAACCAGACAGAGTGACGATGTTTCTATTAGCAGAGTTTTTTTCATGGTTCCTTGGATATATCCCACTGGTAATGAGTGAGCGCATATATTTTGAGTTATGTAGGCTGGGCAGAGGCATTTAATAATTTTATTTTGATTAATGGTAACACTATGAACACCTGATGCCGAGGTACTACTTTTGACAAAAAAAGAATTGTCGCTGAAACCTGTGACATATTGACTAAAGATGTCTCATTGCATAAAACTTTGTCGCCATTCTCTTGTTCAGCACTGAAAAAGGTTTATGTATGAAAAAATAATCAATACAAAGCAAGTTGAAAAGAGACTTTGTTTAACATGACGGGTGGTGGCAGTTTTGGAGTAGCACATGGGGAATTCAATCCTGTTGTCGAGTCCGATGTCAATAGGGTCCCTGTTGTAGGTGATGATATAACATAATTCTTCATGCCACCATGGATAAGACCCTTGTAGTGGATGTGGCTTACTGCATCTACCAGGCAGATGAGTTGAGCGATGAGATCCTTGCTGCTTAAACGAAATTGGTCTTGATGTTGGAGGACATGACATGATTATGTTTCACAATACTTCATGCTCATTGGTATATTATTTCTATTTAATTAAAATGAATAAAGAGGGGAGACACGAATTTCTAGTCATGTGTTGGGACTCCTACCTCATCAGCTGCAGGCTCATGAACCTCCACAGACTTCTTCAACCTTTAAGATAAGTATCGAATTTCCTCGATACTAAAACTATTCTTGCCATCTTTGTAACTTTAGGCAGCCACTCGCTGGACATAAGATCTAGAAAGTCTGCACATTCAGTGTTTATCTCAACGCTGTTATTTCTGATGCCTATTCCTTTTTTTTTTTTTAATTAAAATAAATGTAACATATTTACAGGTTGTAGTGGCTATGACCCCCAAGAGGGAGTATTAGGTGCCACATAATGGTATTTACAATGAGTTGTGAAATATTATGAGAAGTGTACATGTAATTGTGTAAAGTATGATATTGTACATAATTGGGAAAATAAACTGATTTAATGGAAATGATTAAAGGTCTCTTCCACAATAACAGGTGCAAGCAATAAAATGTGTAGAGTACATGTAATAGAATAAATTTCAATATTACATTATTAAATATTATAACATGATAACATCTGATGAGATTATACAGTAGTTCACGGAACTACTCCTCCAAGTATTGATTGCAGTAATAATCTTTAAATGACTTTTTGAGAATAGGGATACTTTTTGAGGTTTTGATATCAGGGGGTGTTTTATTCCATATAAGGCCACCTTGAACTAAAATACTTTTCTTTCCATAGTTAGTGTTAAATTTGTTTTTGGTCACTCTGGAAATGAATGAAAAACATGTATTTTAATTGATGATACAAATAAGTGCCATCACATTGAATTTTTTTTGAATGAATTAATGTTCATGAAAGTCAAATTTTCATTTGTCTAAACTGTTTAATCCCTGTAAATTGCATGTTAAATAATTTTTCTATATCCAAAATACTCATTTTTACAATGAAATTTAGTATATTTTAAACTTTGTCTTTGTAAGAGAATATATTCATATGACCCTCATGGTTGTTGATTTGAATCTTGGAAAAATGTCACAAGTGAGAAAGATATTTGGCCTAAGGTTACTCGAGTCTCTAGCCAAATTACTTGGCTTGGCATGTGGACCACTGTGCACTAGTGAAAATGTTTATTCTGGAGAAAAAAAAGTTTAGATTTTTAAAAATCACAATGAGAATATTTAATCAATTAAAACAGACACTGTCCTTTGTGAGATATTGCATGCTTTCCTCTAATCTTAAGATCATATGGTCTGCCATTTATAAAAACATCTGATGAGGTTGATCTATATCTCTCTTTAGCGAAAACAAAATGGCCGTTTTTACCGAAGGATCTTTTTCAAAAGATTGCTCTTAGAAAAGATTAAATAAACGCTGATGTAGATTGTCATATTAATTAAGACTACATACTAAGTTCAATGAAGATATGTTTATTACATTTTAGTTAATTTCTAACAACAGTCCATACGGGATAGGGTAGAAAGCAATAAAACAAACAGGGCTTGATGATAGCGTAAGGCCACACTTTTGCTGACAAATAAGGCAAGTCTAAGGATAAACCTTTTTGCCTAGATGAATATTTTGAACATCAATTAGAAACAACAAATTATACAAGGGCCGAGCAATATATTCGCTACTTTTTGCTCTCAAATTGTTAATAATAAAGTATCTTACCTGAAACTTTCCAAAATAATAGAAAAAACATTTTTCTGTAATATCATCAAATGTGCATTTATTTGGTTACATCCGTAATATTTTACATGGCATTGAATATTGGTTGATAGTGACCACCGGAGCTGACATTTGTGACAATGTTTCAGAAAACAACTTTTATACAAAATGTCCTTTTTGTTAATTAAGACAGTTACTCCTCATTTCATGCCTCATTCTCAAAATAGTGTCCATCTGCAGCTATGCATTTTCTACATCGGGAAAGCCAGTCTTGATAGGCCTGTTGCAGTCCGTTTCCATTTCCATATAGGTCTTTTAGGGCCTTATGGACGGCCTCAAACACTTCTTCACGGTCACCAAACCTCTGCCCGCGTAGCTCATTCTTCAGTTTGCCGAAAATTTCAAAGTCGCACAATGCAAGGTCTGGACTGAATGGTGCATGATCAAATTTTTCAATGTTTAGAGCTGCTAATATATCAGTTTCCTCATGGGCCCTGTGTGATGGAGCATTATCTTGATGATATATCATATGGTTGATCAATACTGGGCGCTTTTTACGAACTGCATTTACCATGCTTGCTTCTTGATGCAACTCAGGGAGCAGAGTCTCCCTTTTGTGATGCATATGCGGATCAATTGTGACCTCTTTATTGTTTGAAAAGAACATCTATGACATCACAACCATTTGTTCTGAATATTGGATCAATGTCCAGTAAACAATGTTTATAAAAATTACCCAAACTGAATGTTTTGGTTATGAGAAATGGGCATATAAAGATATTGTTGCATGTGCAATTGCAGTAAAATTATGGGCAGCTCCGGTGGCTCATTCCTCCCGTTGCTATGACAACCATAATTTTTTGCCATATTTGTCAATGGGCTTGAATGGAATCAAAAGATGCGGAATTCTACACTCTATGTCTGTACCAAATTTCAATGGAAATAAACAAATATAAAAGAAAATAAAGCAAAAAGTAGCGAATATATTGCTCGGCCCTTGTATGTGCCACCAAGTTCATCTTATTATATAATTCATACCCATAAATGTGTCCAATTTCCCATCAAATTTATAGTCTTGTATTAGTTTTTCCCAACTTGATGATCTCAGCTGTATCAACATTTCACGTCTCATAACCTCTCTCTTCTCTCTTTCAACTTCCTTGTAACCCTACAAATTGATGCAGTTCTTCATGTTGTCCTGGAGGAGGATAGTGAGCTCTGATGCAGAGTACAGCACATGAAGGTAGGACAAGACACCCCAAGCAGCTTGCACAAGCTGTCTGTATGCCACGGGGCGCCTATGTGGATCAATTGGTCCATTAAATCCATTGGGATATTGCATTTTACAGCTGCGTCTAGTGTTAGTCTGTTAGTACATAAACCATGAAAGCCAGGATTATTAGTGATGCATCCAAGAATCCACAGCGTCTCCTTCACCTTGAATATTCTTCCATGTTTGTTCACTAGATCATACCATATCATATAGGTTCCAAAGGCGCATTTGTTCCTCAAATGAAGCTGCCTTTTCAGGTGATATTAGGTTACACCCTAACTTGAGGAATAGAAGAAATTTAGACATGACCTGGATGGCATGGATCAGGCATGGCTCCTCGTACCATGGGGCCATTGGGTCAGGGGTCCATCTGGTCCATCAATTGTTCCGATCCTTGTTCAGGTACCAATCCGTCTGTCTGTTGCTCTGTTGTGGATTTTGGCATGTTCGTCAGGTCTGTCACTTCTGGTACTACATTGTCTGTCACTGAGTTCACTATAAGTGCTGGTTCATCTGTAAGTCCTTGTTCGTCTGTAAGTTCTGGTTCATCCGTCCGGTCCATCAGTTCCACTGTATAATTGTGCCCAATTTTTTATTATCTTTTTTGGAAGAGAATTGTTGGGTGTCAACTCAAAAGAATGTTTTAAAATGAGGTTTGTGTTAATTGTTTCCATTTCAACACCTCTTCCCTGCTTGTATTCTCGATACTGCAATTTGTACAAGACTCTCCACTCAATTGTTGTGGTATTATTTGGGTGATTCCTAATCACTTTACCAGCCAATGACCATTCACCAGCATAGTCGGGATGGTTGATAAGGCAAAATTTTCCACAAGCTGGCAACTGGTTGAGAATCACACTTCTTTATTGAATTATTTGAACCTGAAAAAATGAAACTTCAAAATTCACTGGTATTTGAGTTAAATTTGAGCCAAATCTGTCAAACTTATACAATTTGAATTTTAATCTGTCAAACGGTATTTGAGATAATATAATGACATAAGGTATGACAAGAGTGTCCTAGGAGACTGTTCCTCACACTTAGTTTGAACATTTTTTTTAGCTGCCGTTCTGACTTTTGTGTTTTTAACCCAGGCGAGTTTTTTGATGTATGAAGGATAAGTCTTATCTTTTCTAAATCAGTGCCATATAGGTTACTGTTCTCAATAATATTGTTTAATTGATGCACAAGGTGAAATGCCTGTACTCTGTGTGTTATATATATATATATGTGGTGTTATATTGTAGTAGTAGAACTCTTTGATGTATTCTGACCATTTTCTCCTTGATTTAATGACCTCAATAAAAGATTCAACATATGGGTAAATCTCTCACATTGTCCATTTCCAGATGCACCATTGTAATGGTGCTTTAAAAAATTTCTTGGATCCCGGCGCATGAACACATTTGTTGGTTATGATTTCCAGCAGCATCTCAACATTGTTTGCCTACAACAAAGAATTAAAATTGTAGAATACATAGAATACATTTATTTTCAGCTGCTGTATAAATGTGATTGAAACCCTCGGACTGAAAAGGAATGTGTCTACACTTTTGGGAAACTCTGGAGCCATCTTGCCTTAAAGTCAAATTATTGTCAATTTCATATGAATGATGACACTTTTCGCAAACTACATATTTTTGAAATGAATCCTTGATCCCTAACATTTCTTTGCCTCTGTAAACACTAGAAGGTATTTCAAGGGTCAAGGTGAATATATCTGTGATGGCTAAATTGCTTGCAACATCACAAATGAACATTTTTAGAAATAACAATGAAACAGCAACAGCTCCAAATGGTACATTAAATGCTTTTTGCCATGAAAATATGAATAAAGTTGGTAAAAATGCTAACTTTGAACATGGTACATGCTCATAATCTCATAATAATGGTCTCAGTCTGTAATATACTCAGAATCAGATTCGTAATGTGTAAGTCTTCTTCACTTGTTACACTCCAGGCCCCCAATCTCATTGAAGGCCATAAGGGCACCCTGGTACTCCATTGATTGTGAGGAATCCTCATGGTTCTTGCTACATGTGTGCACAGGAGGAGTTTGGCCATCATCTACACATATAGCTCAGATGATATTGAGAATTTTCGTGATTCTCTGTCCAATGACAAGTACAACCTCACCTTTGGCATTATATGTATGCTTATGGGACCTCTTACACCAACCACCTTCTAGGTATATGTATGTAGTTGGTACACGCTAAGTTAAATCAATCTTTATTGTTGCATAGCATGTGATACATGTCCCTGGGGTATGTTGTTGAAAAGAACTCTGGAGTTGCTACTGTTGTCACATGAAAACCTTGATTTCCAAAAGTTGTATCAGTCTGAATGACTGAACCCTCATTAAGGAATCGTGTGTTTCTGGGGTGTGAGTTGTAATCGTTATACCAGGAACAAGATGTATGCCAACAATAATTGGAGTGTCTTGTTCATCATTATACTGCAAATAATTAGTAAGGGGATCTAAACATGTTAAAATTTGGAGAATTTCATCTTCAGTCACAAGTATGTTATTTAATAAGTTGTTTTTCTACTTTGAAAGGGTACCTCTGGAAGTTCTTCGTTAATGTGATATTTCTCTACAAAATGGTCTAAAAAAATATTTGCTTTGTCAATGCTAAGGGTTTTTGGAATGTTATTAATGTCATTGATAACGGGAATATGAGTATTTTTTACATTTTCCAATAAAATTTTTAATAATATACCAGTCACTTTTCGAACCTGGTTTAGCATCTAATTTACTTAAGATTCTTTTCTCATGTTCAAGTTTCGCAGTTTCAATTTCGGTTAATACCTGTGATGCATACTCTTTATACCGCAGAAAATGTTGGTGATTATTATTTCTCTTAAATTTGTAGTAGAATTTATTACGTTTATTGATTAACTTACGCAGGTCGTCATTAAACCAAGGCTTAACTTTACTATTAATTTTGATAGTTCTGTTAGGAATAGATCTATGGAAAATAATTGAAAGTCTCTTAGTAAATTGTTCAGTTAGTTCATTAATTGAGTTGCTGTTTTGGATTAAATTGTCAAAATTTTCATTTTGAAAATATGTTTTTCTATGAAGAGAGTATTGTTTTCTGGTAAACCTCTTGTGCCTTTGGAATCTACATCGCTCATCGTTGACAACGTTTGCATTTCTCTATCCTCTCAGTCAAGCCAATTACTTCACTTCGTGACTTTTGGCAATACCGGATTGAATGCGTCATTGATTCCAAAATCTATCAAGAAGCGAGCACTTGACAGGACATAATTGTTTGGTTTTATCTCATTGTGCAAAAGTCCTTCCAACGTATTTGACAGCATTAAACACTGTATTTGTTTAATGTAATCTTTATGTGAAAGGGATATATTTTGATTTGATTTTTAAAGAATAAACAATATAAATAATATATTGGCTTTATATTACATCCTTGAAACTTGAATGTACTTAAGTTATGAAAGATGTATATGACCCCTTAAATTACAAATATGAGTGTCCATGCTACATTTTATTTTTCGATCTTAGGTCCCTCTGTATGTTTTCAATTTTTCCTTGTGTCCCACAGTGTCTCTCAACTAGACTCAACACCCTTCCAACATTTGTTTGGTCAAATGGGGGTCTAGAATTAAACTATGTAGCATTAGTTCCTCATCAGTAAAGAAATGGCTCACCAAACTTTTTTTGAAGGTAGTTTTTCAGAGCTAGAAGGCAACAGTTGCACATTTGGCATATCTCTTGAATGGCACAGGAGAAAGCAGTTTGCTACAGGCCCTCGTTAAGATATTTTGTTTATCTCTTGGGATATTCCTTGTATCCAAAACCTCCAAATGCATAACCCCTATGTACTAAATGCACAATTTTGTCTCACGTACAAGTTTATCAAACAAAAGAGGCATATATTCATCCTTTATATAAAGAAATAACAACAAAACTATACCTGGTGGGTTTGCAAAGATTGGAAGTAAAAATATGTCTTCTTATCCAGGCATTTAAATGGGACATATCCTTGATGGAGGGTGTTCATGTGGCCTTTATCCCCCTTAGAGACACCACACTCATAGTCCATTTCATAATGGTGTACAAGCTCATGTAATTTAAGGTGATGTTTTAATGATTTTATCAGATGATCTTTTTGCTAGAAAGGTTGACTAGCAGATAATAATTATGAGTCAAGAGTGTGACTAGTGATTTGACCTGATTTGATAATCATCAAACTAGTGTACCTTTTCAAGCCTCCTAGCTAGTACTCTGTTCTTTATGTATTGTGGAGATTAGCTATCATATCCCCTTTGGTAATGCTGCTCACCAACATGGGATTGAAACAACTTGGTGCAGGACATCCATGCAAAGGATTGATTTAATGCTCTCTAATGTGATGTGATGTGATTTTACGATGGAAATACCTCATTTCATGATATTGATTGTCGGGCACAAAAGGGTTAACATCCGTCAACTATTTACAAAACTGAACAAAATATTCAGTTTTTCTTACCTGGACTAAGTTTTCAAGTGTTAATGCATTCGTATCGTGTAAATTGATTGACTTCATATTTTATTTAATTCATAAAAATGACGATCCCCGATTGTCACATTACTCCCGTCTTCTTAAAAAGATGTGTCCTCATATATTTACAATTCTCCTTTATTCTAGTTATCTCATTGTGTCACATGAAGTTCCTTGTTGTAGGAGTACACTTTGTTTTCCGACCACAAGTACGTAACTTCTCTAACCTTCTTCCACCTCCAACCTTCTTCCACCATACAGAAAGGCAAGTTAACAACCATTTCGTCTTGTAGTCTGACCTGACAGCAACGTCCTTCATCCTCAAATCACTGTCTACTACATTCTCTTCACTACTACTGTCCTTTGAGATGACTTGGGGTTGAGATGACTTGTCACCTTTTATGTACTATATTGCACTCAAAGTGTCATTATATAGTATGATACTGCATCTTCACAGTCTGTTGTCACTGGCACTTTATAATATCCATATATCCATGGTATAAATTGTTTAAGTATATATCACTGTAGTAGGACATTGGCCAATATAAAGACAAGTTGAAACATTCTGGTTTATCCTGATGAGAAACATGTTGGAATTTATCCTGATGAGACTAAACTATTTTACTTAAACATATATACATGCACTATATTGCACTTAAAGTATCAGTATATAGTATGGCACTTTATAATATCCATATATTCATGGTTTCAATTGTTTAGTATATATCACTGTAGTAGGACATTGGCCAATATAAAGACAAGTTGAAACATTCTGGTTTATCCTGATGAGAAACATGTTGGAATTTATCCTGATGAGACTAAACTATTTTACTTAAACATATATACATGCACTATATTGCACTTAAAGTATCAGTATATAGTATGGCACTTTATAATATCCATATATTCATGGTTTCAATTGTTTAGTATATATCACTGTAGTAGGACATTTGCCCATATAAAGACAAGTTGAAACATTCTGGTTTATCCTGATGAGAAACATGTTGAGATTTATCCTGATGAGACAACTGTTTCACTTAAACATATATACATGCATTTTATTGCACTTAAAGTGTCAGTATATAGTTTGTCACTATAATATCCATATATTCATGGTATCAATTGTTTAGTATATATCATTGTAGTAGGACATTGGCCCATATAAAGTTGAAATGTTCTGGTTTATCCTGATGAGAAGCATTGTTGAGATTCCTTTTTAACACAAACAACATTCCTGGTTTTTCGCTTACAGGATAGATCTAATGGGGCTTCTGGAATGTTATAGTTTTTTTTTCCAGCTGCTGGAGAAGCGATAATGTCTATAATGGGCACATAAATATCCAAAGTAAGGTTCACACCAAGATTTTCAATGAGATCTGGTGTAACTGTCACTTGAAGATCAAATCATTCCATTGAATTTGTCAGAATATTTTTCTTCAGCCTCTACTAGAACTAGGATTATGTTGCATTTCTGTTTTGTTAGGTTTGCAAAAGTGTAGAATAAGAATAAGATATTGAATAACATTGCCTCCTACCTGTTTTTGAATGATTGAGCTAAGAACATATCTATTTAGAATTTTTCATTTGATCATTAATAGCAATTGTTGTGATAACCTTTCTAAAACTATCAACTGTCATGTCATATGTATATTCCAGATTGTCACCCAATATTTTGACAAAATGCTACAGACTAAATGATTGTTTACTGTTTGTCAAGGTGTCAAATACTTTCTTATGAGAGTCAAAAGTGGGGATGAGTTTCAATAAAGTTTTCGTAATCCAAAGATTCATCATCAATACACTGTAAGCTCTGCAATGTCAATAATTATAATATCATTGGGTTCCTCTTCATTATCATATCTGAGCTACATGTGTAAGTTACACTCTGAAGGGGTTTGTCTGCCCCTCAATTACCTTGGTTTACTGCCAACATGTACATGTCTTTTTCTGTGCAACATGAATGGTCTTTCGATGACAGAGATGTACATTGAATGCTCTTGCGTCGTTGGTACGTTCTTTGGGATAGTATAATTGTGTAGGTCTGTCTTGTCCTTAAAAATGTCCATGATGTCTTGTACCTTCCGTCGTTTTTTCGTCTGTTGTCAGTCTGTTTACGTTTGGTCGTTTGAAATCCTTGGTCGTCTTGTCCTCATTCTTCTTCCCCTCTTTCTCCTCAGTCCTCTTCTTTCTCTCCTCCACTTTCTTTGCTCTCCTGTCTTCTTCTTCACCTCTCCTTTCTTCCTCTTCCTTCTTCTTTTCTTTCTCTTCCTTCTTCTTTTCTTTCTTCTTCTCCTCAACTTTCTTCGCTCTCCTCCTGTCTTCTTCCCCTTTCTTCCTCTTTCCTCTTCTTTTTCTTTCTTCTTCTCAACT